CACTCACCATAGACTACAGACCACAAACTTGAGACCACAGACTATAGACCACAAACTAAATACCACAGACTACAGATGATAGACTACAGACCACAAACTAAAATCCCACAGACAATAGACTACAGACCATAGGCTTGAGAATAAACAACACATACTACAGACCACAGACTAAAGACCACTCATCATGCTGTAGACTGCATACCACAAACTAAAAACTACAGGCTACAGACCACAGAATTGAGACTACCGAACATGTACTACAGACAACATACAATAGACTACGGACCATAGACTAGAGACTACAGAACACATACTACAGACCACTCACCATAGACTACAGACCACAGACTACATGCTAGACCATATACTATAAAACACACACTTCCAACCACAAACTAAAGACCACAGACCACAACAGACTACAGACGATAGACGATAGACTAGAGATCACAGACCACAGAGCATATAGTACAGATCACATACTACAGACTACGGACCACAGACTAATGACTATAGACCACATACTACAGACCACAGACTACAGACTATAAACCAAAAATAACTGATTACATACACATACTACAGACCACAGACTGCATACTACAGACAACAGAATCAAACTGATGACAAAATATTTTTATTTAAAGTTTTCATGAAAAACTTTGTCTAAGGTGGCTGTAAATCACTCATTGTGAAACCTGGCGCTAACATGAGACATTCAACTGTTTACATTTGGGCTAACTATACGTTAAAGCAAGATTTTATAAATAGGTAAAGGGTTTTTCTGTTTTCACTGAACAGTTTGAAGATAAGCCAGATATTTTTTTTGTTTCATACTGGCATCATGAATAAGGGGAGAAAAAGGGTACAAAGGAACTGAGGTTGATCTGTTGTAGATATGCCACTAAAAGAGAGCAGGAATGGTGTGTGTATGTGAAGCTGCCATTGATCCCATCATCAGTTCGGCTTCACTTAGACACACACTTACCAAAAGGGAAAACTGTCAATTGAATGAGCAGATTTTCTTTGTAGCAAAATGTCCCAATCATTGTGTGAACATGCAAGGGAATAGATGAATCTAGCCAATGGTCTGGGCTCTCAATCTCAAAGGCATTAATATATTCATGACTCACTGCTGAACCATGATTTTATGATCAGTTTTATCATTTCTGAGCACAGCAAGTCTTCACTCCTGATGAGACATGAAATTTTTAGTGAGAATTCTTCCTCTGTGCTCGTTGTTCCCATAAATGAAAAAATGCAACAATTAAACTAAGCCTCTTTGCACTCTGTATGCATGTCAGTTGTCAAATTGTTTTAAGATCTGTAAGACTCAAACTACAGCTCCATTTTTCATGAATATGTAAGTGAAGAAAGAAAAGACTTAAACAGCACACACAACCTCTTCCAGCTGTTTGAGGTCCTGATACAAGTGTATTATTTCCCTTCTGGGTTCGGAGATTACTAAAACATCTATGAAGCACAAAACAGAAAGTGATACAAAGACTGAAGAAAAAAACGTCTGCTCGTTGTCTTGCTCAGAGTGAAACTTGTTAGACCAAGAAAACACTCCTTCATAAAAAGTGACAGCCAGTGAGATGAACTGCACCATATGGGGATGTTTGTAGCACAGTATCATGATGCACAGCAGAGGAGTCCACACTGAGACAACAGCGCAGTCAGAAAGGGTTGGGACAAATAACGTTTTTGTTATTCTGGGTTTGTAGCCAAGTGTCACAAAGATCATATAAAACAATAAGCCAAGACTTCAGGGCTGAATTTCAGCTTAATGTACAAAACCTTTTTTTTTTTCCTTCTAAAATTCTGCATCAGCTTACAGCCTCCAAAATGTTTGTTGTGATATTTTAAACACCTGCCTCCATGAAAGGCGGGCAGTCGTGTTATTGACTGTGTGTGAGTGTCTGTCTGTTAGCAAAATATCTCCTAAAGCAGTGGCCAGATTTTACTAAAACTCTCAAAAGGTAATCATTAAACCACAGACTGCCAGAGTTGTCTTTAGGAGTCAGGTGGCACGGTGGCTCACTTGGTAAAGCTGCTGCCTCTCAGCAAGAAGGTTGCTGGATCAAATCCCGGTCCGGGGGCCTTTCTGGGTGGAGTTTGCATGTTCTCTCTGTGCATGCGTGGGTTTTCTCCAGGTACTCCGGTTTCCTCCCACAGACCAAAAACATGCATGTTAGACTGATTGGTGACTCTAAATTGTCTCTAGGTGTGAGTGAGAGAGTGAAGGATTGTTTGTCTCTATGTGTCCCTGTGATGAACTAGAGGGACAGAGCAGAGATGTTATTTCTAACCCAAACCCGGAGCCCAGCCCAACCCGGATTCGGACCGGACCAGGCCATAATAATGTGCTTAATGTGCGGGTCGGGTCAGTGTCAGGCTTTTGTTTGTGTCAGCGGATTACAGATATCGGGCTAAAATTTGGAGTACCGGCAGTAGTAGCTGAGAGTCATCATCAACATATACATTGAGAGCTAGTAGATCGTGTCAGATCTTTTTTCAAGTGTAGCATGAAAGGTGGTCTGTATTCCCTCTAGAATCACCAGTTTAATATTAAGTTCTGACTCAGTATGGCACAACTTCAGGTCCAGTTCCAGACTGTATGGGACATGTGCACATGTCCAGCACTCTGTCTGCAAATCTTTTGAGACTAATGGAGGCAGTTTGTGACTTTAGCTTTCACTGCTTTCACCCAGAGACCAATCAGGAACTGGAGCAATAAACTCCAGCAGCAGAAAGTTTACAAGCTTATAAACTGACTGAAGGATGAAGTATATCATTTGTTTAATTGAATCCAATTTCTAATGCTCAAGCAGCATGGGGGTAAAGAAGGGTTTCCTTGGTTTTGGCATTAGCTGAGAGGGTTGTAACACTGCTTGGAACGTTACATTAATAATGCATTGGAGAGCACTTATTCCAGTGGCTGCAGAAGGTGGACTTAAGCTTAGGATGCTGACCTTTAAACTGATGTTTTGACTTAAAAAGGGCCAGTCTCACAAACATCAGCATGCACTTTCATCAGACATGACCCCATGGGAAGTCTGTTAAAGTGAAACCAAAGCAGGCAAACAAATGCGTTCTGAGTGTGTAACCATTCACAAGTGTGCAGGATTCAAAACCAGATGTTTTACTGGGTGAGAGTCCAGGGATGAACAAATAAACCTCCCCAACAGGACAATCAGATATTAGAAGCTAAATATTTCAGTCAGATTTTCTGTTACCAGCCATGTTGAATTTGGAAAGCCACTCTTATTGGAGGATTCTGGACTTTCATGACCAGAAGATGATTTTAACAAGTCGCAGAAATAATTAAACTTCAAACCCTTGAAACATTTTAGAGGAATATGAAGAACGTAGAAAATACTTTTTGTAGAAAACAAGTGTTTTTGTGTCTATAAACACTCTCGACCTTGAAAGTGTAACGTTTGGAGCATGCCAGCTGAATATCTTGACTGAAAAAGTAGAGACGAAGAAAATGAAAAATCCTGGAGGTTGTCACAGGACAGATCTGGCAGAGAACTTCAAAATGACTCCAGCCAGATATTGACTGCAGCAGAACTGACATATACTAAATGTATGTTTGTGCTGTTTTCTCTAATTACTAAATGCCCCCTCGATGGGTGTTTATATAAACACCCACAGATAAATCACCACGTTAGCATCATGTTCACTGCCACATGTCAAACCCAGAACCAGAGCCAAGACTGTCTGCACCATGAACTGCTGCTGTCAGTGTTCGGCATAAGTTGCTTCTGTTTATCCTCCCAATCAGTAAAGACTTGCACACAGACGAGCATATGAGTAAACTGTCACCTGCTGTCAAGATGGCTGAAATCCAGCAGGTTGAACTCCCGGTTGTCCTGAGAGTGGTAGATTGTGTCAACATCCTGAAAAAATAAAAGAGAAAGAAAAATCATAAACAGAATTTTTTTTTGTCTTTATTTTGATGCCAATCCAGAACAAAGTGGTGTTTTCTTGCAGCCAGTAGTCTTCTCACCCATTGCACTTCTTCTTTACAGCCAATCCCGTTGTAGTCGCAAAGAGCAGCGTATGTCTCAGAAAAACCACCTGGAACAACGAAAGACACTCATATGAAGAAACATGAATGGAAGAGGTGAAGGTGGAACAGCAAAAAGGTGGAAGTTTGGTTAAAGCGAAGAGAGAAATGTGTAAAGTCAAAGATGAAAAGGAGCATCAAATGTTCTCAAAAAAAAAAAAAACCTGAGGTGAGATGAAAGAGCAGAGCATCATCAAAGGTTCTTCCTGTAGATTAGAGGATTAGCAGCAGTAAAGGAACTTGATTCATCTGACCCATTTAAAGTCAAGTCCCTACAATCATTTATGGTGGTGCCAGTCAGTGTTAGAAGCTGCTGGAGACGAGCTATTGATTCAAGCTTGAGAGAAAATACAACGTTTTCCATTCGTCTCACTGAAATCTGAATCTGTGAAAAATAGATCAGCTTGGCAATATTTTACATGACCAGATTTAGAAAATAAAGGCCTTTTTTCATGTGCATGACTTGTAAAACAACTTCACTGTTCACCTGCTTTCTACCCACCTCAACAGCCACGCCCATTTTAAAGAATTTAATCTGTGCCATGATCACGTCCTCGGTCCCGTCTCGCTCACAGCCCTTCATGTCATGTTTTCTTCTCCTGTCATTCAACCACGCCCACTCTCTACATTCATGCCCAACACCTGTTACCTGCCCTACTTAAGACGCACACACTCTCATTCCCAGCCAGATTATCATACCTTTCATGGTCTCTAATATCAGCCATCTTGTTTTCACGTTCATGTTTGATGATCACGTCTTGCTATTCAGATTTCGACCTCGCACCTGCCTCTTGGATTTATTGCTCTGCCTGCCGTTCATCTGATTCTGCACTACTCATCTAACCCTGGTACGACTACGTTTCCTGCCTCACGGATTTTGGATTTACGGATTGCCCTTTGGACTTGCTTTCTGGACTTCTGACTACCTGTGCATGGCCCCCGCTTCGTTTCTCAGACCTCACTATTGAATTGTCCCACGGACCACGTTTGTCGCAGCTTTGATCTACAGCTGTGCTTCACCCAGTATCGGAAACATCATCCTGCCCAGCTCCAACATGTGGCCCCCACCTTGTCTCTTTGAGAAGCTCTGACAGGTGACTCTCTCCCTCCTGCCTGTGAGGACCTGTCACCACAGCTGGATCCTGACTCTCTCCTGCAGCTGCAAATCAATAAAGATTGTTTCCTTTGGGTTTTTTAATACTCTTGTTATCTGGCTTTATTCGTTTCAGGTTACATTCTGGGGACCAGTTTTGGAAAAAATCCTGCATTGTGGGGACCAAAGCCAGGTCCCCATAAGAAGCAGTCTCATTGGTGGGCTAAGTTTAGGACTAAGGTATGAAGTCAGTATGGATTAGGTTTAGATATGTACTGGTAATTGGTTTAGGGTAAGGGTCAGGATTAGGCTATAGAAATGAATGGGTCAATGCAAAGTCCCCACAAGGTCAGAAATACAAGACCGTGTGCGTGGGTGTCCGTGTACTGTGCATGTTTCTGAGTGAGAGACAAACAAAAAGACTGACCACAGGTTTTTGGAGGCTCTAATGAGGAGTCAGAGTTGGGTGAAAATTTGTGAGTCCCATCAGGCAGGTCTTCCTCTGCTCGACAAATAGGAGGGCTGTAAAAAAACATGAGAGAAGTTTAAACTCTACAGAAATACTGAAAACTCCTGCTTAAACCTCTGCTGACATGTTGCTTCCTCTCCTGTAAATAAGTGTTGATAAGGTACGAGACAGAGAGAGAAAATGACAAAAGTCTGTGTTTAAACTTCATAAGAACTGTTTCAATCTAATTAAATCTCGACACAGATTTGGTTCATTCAATCTTTATTTCTACAGGTTAGTTTCATAGACCCTTGAGGACTCATTTACAAGAGAGACCTGATTTTAACAAAAAGTGATATCAGGAGAGAACAGTAGACCACAATAGACAATCATAAAAGAAAGCATGTAAATTGAGAAGAATAAATTAAAGAAAAATTAAAGAAAATGTTATTAAAAAGACAAAACAAACAGCTAGATTATAAGGCGATGTAGAAAACTAAAAACAGGAACATGTCTACATTGGTTTTTGCCATGAACTTAGCAGATGTTTAAAGCCACTTAGAGAAGTCAAAGTTGAGAGCTTCAGATCTTTTTGCTAGGGATGCATCAATCCACTTTTTCAATTTCGATCCGATACCGACATCTACAGTTTAATATCGGTAGATACCGATCCAAGACCAATCCGATACCAGTCTGATACACAAAAACAGTGTTGAATTAACAAAAATGGCTAAATCATGTCATCTGGATGTCCAGATGACATGATTTAGCCATTTTTGTTGTTTACCTGGATGTTTGAGCTTACAAACCCAGTGCTGAATTAACTTAAAACATTTGTTTTGTTAAATGCAGACATGAATGTACTGAATTACAAATTTATTGAAAACTTTGCACCATAATAGCACACTTAAACACACCAAGAGCTTCACAAGCTTGGTCAAACATGTAAAAACAGCACAACTTTAATTTGTTCAGTCAGTACGCTAGCACGTGACGTCACTCAGAGCACAAAGCATAAAATTAGAGTGAATAGATCTGCCCAGTCATGAATTGGTTACATTGTCACCGATACCCAATCCAGAAGTTGTTGTTTTTTTTGGATATTGGTACAGATATCAATATTGGTATCGGATTGGTGCATCTCTACTTTTTGCTAGATATTCCAGGAAACAGGAGCAGAGTAGGAGAAGGCCCTTTTGCCTAGTTCAGTCCACAATGAGGGGATACTGCAGGTAATAATGTCCTGAGAGCGCACGCTGTAACTGCACTCGTGCCGAAACATGTAGGAGGAGATGTATGAAGGCAGCAGACCAAGAAGTGATTTAAAGATGAAAATGTACCAGTGAGAGAGACTGAGTGAAGTTAATGATGTCCAATTAGTTAACCAGAGAATACAGAGTGCAATGGTGGGTACGATAGTTACAGCCAGTTATGAATCTTAGCACAACATGATGGACGGAGTGCAACAACTGCAGGGTGCATATAGGAGCATTCATGTAAGTAATGTCATCGTAGTCAATGGAGAGAAGGAAAGTCAAGTTTCAAGGTGTTTCTTAGCATTTAGAGTTAGACAGGAGCTATTTCTGAAAAAGAAACCCAGTTTTACTTTCAGTTTCCTTACTCGGTTTTAAACGTGTAGCTTAAAAGAGAGATGCGAATCGACCAAGATACCCAAATATTTGTAGGAGTCAACAAACTCAATAGGGACACCATTTGAAGATAAAATCGAGGGACGAACTGCTGGGATCGACTTCCTGTTTGAAAACAACATCCCTTTGGTTTTGTCTGCATTTAGGACAAGTTTGAGACAGAACAAATCTGAATGGATGATGTCAAAAGTGGATTGCAAAAACTGGAAAACCTTAGCAACTGTTTTAGCTCAACAATAAACAACTGTGTCATCAGCATAGAAACGTAAGGATGCATCAGGGATGGTCTGACCTACATTACCTATGTATATTGTAAAGAGAGTGGGTCCTAAGACTGAGCCTTGTGGTACACCATTGTTAACCGTTTAATAACTGGAAGAAGTACCATTATGTTGAACACACTATGTTTTCATGTGCAAAATTATTTGACTGGATTGAAATGTTTTCAGATTAAATAATTCAAATGTATTGTTTACATGGGCACAATCCATTCCTGATGAGTGTTTACATGCAGCGGGCTTTGTTCTGAACAGAAGTACTGACATGCGCAGAGTGGTAAACTCTTCTTTAAAAAAAAAAAACACAGAAGAAGTTCTACTTCCGGTTTACTTCCGAGATGAACGTAAACAAACCTGAGCACCCAAAATGGACCCACGACAGGTTTTAATGACGGTGGAGACGTTACTGCACTCCCTGACTGAGCTACAGGTAATACAGATCATTTTGAGCTCTTTCAAAGTTTCTAGTAGAAATGTTGTGTCGCTCACTGACCAGTTTTGCTTCCTCGACATGCTAATATAATTAGCATTAGCCAGGCAGAAATGACATAAGTCGCACATGCACAGTCAGTTCAGTTTTTCACGATTGGAAAAAAATGAACAGAACAAGTGTTTACATGGACACTGTTCGGGTTATGAATAGGCGTAAACCGCTTGTTTTGTTCTGATCACAAATAATTTCAGATTGAGCAGAATAAACAAAAAATAACCTGAGCAGTGTGTTTACATGACGCGTTTTTATTCCGAACAGCTGTTTAATCTGATTACTTATGTCCATGTAAACATAGTTATTGTCTCCGATCTGAGAGATAGTCAGTGAAGCAACCAATGGTAACAGTTAACAGTTGTTGAGTTTGACCTCAGAGCAGACGTTGGTCAAACTTTAAACTCAAAGAAATGTATTTTCTGCCCTGGCACATCACTGCCAGCTCAAAGGCATAAAGAGAAAAACATCCATCCATCCATTATCTTTACCTGCTTCTTCCTTTTCGGGTCACAGGGGTCACTGGTGCCCATATCCAGCAGTCACTGTGCGATAGACGAGGGACACCCTGGACAGGTCTCCAGACCATCACAGGGACACATAGAGACAAACGAGACAAACAACCATTCACTCTCTCACTCACACCTAGAGACAATTTAGAGTTACCAATCAGTCTAACATGCATGTTTTTGGTCTGTGGGAGGAAACCGGAGTACCGGAGAAAACCCACGCATGCACGGAGAGAACATGCAAACTCCACCCAGAAAGGTCCTGGACCAGGATTTGAACCGAGGCAACCTGCTTGCTGAGAAGCAGCAGCTCTACCAACTGTGCCACCGTGCTGCCCAACAGTCATGTCAAAAAACATTTGAACTGATTGATCAGTTTGCTGAAGAATGAGGTGGATTTTCACCGTGTTTAAAAAGATTTGACCCCACCTGAACAAATTATAGTACCGTAAATAAAACAGGCCTGTTTGCTAGCTGCACAGTTTGAAGTGACGTCCTTGTGACAATGTGTTTCATCACACGGAGAGGAACTTTAATACCAGGTGAGCTTTTTTGGCACAACACCAGCAGACACTGGAATATGACTTGAATATTAAGATAAGCTTTTTTTCTTATTTAAAGGAGTTTACAGTCTGGAGGACACTTTTATTAAATGTAACCTAGAAGAAGAACAGAGGAACCTCCTGTCAGCTGAATGCAGTAAAAGATTTAAGTTCATAGAAACAAGTCGTCCACTGATGTCCTGCATCACCGAGGGGTTTAAAAAGGGAATGTTTGTAGTTTTTGAGATGAGTTTTTCTTCTGGACTGGGACAGAGAATGTAAATAAACCTAAATGTTTTTGGAGCAAGACATTCAAGTAGGTAGGGGCTACACTGTGGAGAAGAACAGAGGATTATTTTTGTTTGTTTGTTTGTTTGAGGCAGCAGAGTGATGGATCCTGGAGAGTGGAGGGACACATTCTATCCACCACCAGGTGCAGTGGAGGCAACAGTGGGTGGCCAGTGGTGGCCTTGGCCACCCATGGATTAATCTTTGACCACCACAATCATTGGAGGAAACAATACTTTTAAGCAATATAAAAACTAGAAAGCATATCTTCCTCAAAATTATGGCGGATGGTTTACATATAAATATGGCAGTGGCCATTTTGGATTTTGACACAGTGACTCAATTTTTGAAAGGAAACGTTGATTCGTCTAGATGTAGCCACACATCAAAATGGAAGTCAGTATCTTATTTTTTACGTTATCCAGCTCATAAGATGGATGGACAGCATTTCCAATTCCTCCTCTTCTTCACTCCACAATGGGGGAAAACAAAAAGGACATTTTTCATGTACTCCTGACCTTCCTGCTATATGTTCAAATGCTTAAAAAATAGTTTTTTTAGGTCGTGGTGGTGGTGGTGGTGGTGGTGGGGGGTGGTTGGGGTTCTGATAATCTTATTTTAGTCAAACTTTTCAGATAGCAATGTTTCTTTAATCTCTTTTTTCCTTTCAGTCCTCAGTGCGTTGTTTGATTAACAATACTAAACTACCGTACTTGCCGCTGTACACATCACACACCGTATAAGTCTCATCAGTCCAAATATATCTAATAAAGTGGAAAAAAAAATCATAAATACTCCCCTTTGCCATATAAGTTGCATCTATTATGTGTCACCACTGATGTATCGCATTTGTTACCACCTGGAAACATGGGCCGGTGTTGTGCCCAAAATCGATTGGCTGCCAAATGGCGGCCGTGGGAGCGTGCATGGGAGGACTTTAACAAGAATTTAACAAGATTAACACTTAAAGACAATTATTTGTTTGCTCGAAATTATAGTAAAGGTGTGTCTCAGCTGAACTTTTCCTTAATAAATGCACTTTAATGGTCAGATCAGCTGCATTTCTCCTGGGCAGCGCTGTGGAATGCAGCTGATTTGACGTTTGCTCCGGGAGTTCCAGAGCGAGACAAAGGTGGCTTGGTATGGCAAGCTAAGTGTCTTATTAATAGCCACTTTTACCTATTAATGAGACACCTGGCATGCCATATTGGTCGAGGGTCCTCTAGCGGCTGAAAATGGTAGTGTTCAATATTTTCCATGTTAGAATGAATGAAATTGTCAGATCTCAGCCAAAAATTGGGTTAGAAATATGGGAAACAATGTATATTAGCTGCTTCGATGTGTAAGTTGCAGGACTTGTAAATTTATGCAAAAAGGTGCGACTTATATGGTAAAAAATATGGTAATATGGTTATAAGGCAAAAAGCAACAAATCAGTTTCATAAATCAAGGTCATTAAAAACACTGAACAGTCAGTGTTTGACAAACACCAGCTAAAATGCACCAACCAATGTTACAAAATGTTCTGATTCTGGTCAGGATTTCTGAATGGGCTTCTTGATCCCATCAGCTGTCAGACAAAACTCACCAAACGCAGGGTGTCCAGACAACTTGAAAGGACTGTAAGGCTCTACAGTTGGAAGGTTTCATTAAAAACCTACAGAACTGATGCATTTCGTGAGTCTGCAGAGTTTCTGCATGTTCTGCACAGGTCATGGCGTCCATCTCTGCCAGGTTTAAAGCCCTCTGCTCTGGATGCAGCTCAAACAAAAGAAGCAGATCATTCTGTAAATACTCTGGCTTTTTCCTCCCACTCTCTCAGCTACAAATACTCCGGCCAAATATCTACATTTAGACATACTGCATTTACTGCTGCTACTAGTAAACTAATAGAGCATTATAGGACTTCAAAGTGTAGAATCAAGCCATCAAACTTTTTCTGACCCACGGGACGCACGGCTGTGTGATATTTTTAAGACTGTCTTATTTGCATTGCAAAAGATGTTAATTAGCAACAGTCTTGTTTAGCTGATTATAGCTGCTGCAGTCAGAGCTGCAGCATGAGCGTCTGCAGAGCCAAAACTGCTTATGACATTGCTTTAGTCATGAATAAATAAGAAGTTTAATGTAAAATTGGATCCCAGAGGTGCTATTTGAAGCTCTCTCCTTCAGACAAAGAAAAATATACTTCAGCTTTCTTGTATTGTTTCCTCAGAATAAATCACTGAGTGTGCAAGAATGTGTGAGGGTTGGGATCCTGAGTGGAGCAGATATGTTGTACATGTAAACCTGTGCTGATCCTAAGGAGCTGAACAAAAACTAGCTTGAATCCTTTTCTTAGATTAGGAGCAACATGATGAATCCAGACAAACCTGCTCCTGCTTTTAAAAAAGGATTACAACGTTTTCCTGCTGAATTCAGCCCACGCCATCCATAATCCTGTTTGTCAACAAACACCTGACCCCTGCTGTGACCTTAATCCTTTACCTTAGCACCACAATCACTGTGCACAAGTTATTTTAAACCACCTGCTTCGTGCACTAACGCTACACAACTAATCAGTGGTGCAGCTCCACAGTTACACCCACAGCCACATCTCTTCGATCGGTTGGAGCTTCATCAACTAGTCTCCCTGGAAGCAGCTGTCTGCCAGGAACCAACCGGGACAGGAGGTCATCGTGGTCTTGTGAAAAAGTCTAGGTCAATAATCAGCACAAAGCCAGCACCTGGTGCCACGCCCTCTGGATGACGGAGCTCCTCACCTTATCTTATCACCTTATCAGATACTTGTCTGCACTTTATATGTTCCATCTGGAACTGGTCCCTCTTGAAAATGAGTCCACCTAGCTCAGTGAGGCAAGCCTGTATAAATAAAGGTTGGATGAATCTCTAAGGCTGACCCCCCCCCCCCCCCCACACACACACACACACACACACTACAGCGTACAGAGGGAGATCATTTCAGTTGCTTGGCTCCAGGATCAAGTTATTTTGGTCCTGATCCAAACCTCAAGATCACAGGTGAGTATATGAACGTAGACAAACCAGTAAATCCAGAGCTTTGCCTTTAGACTCAAATTTCCATTCACCACGACCAACCGGAGCAACATCCTCACTAATGAGGATGAGGCCCTGATCTGTCAAATCATTACATGCTCCACCCTATCATCATCCTGGAACAAGATGCCCAGATGCTTGAACTCATCCCCCTTACCCAGCCCACCACCTGAGAGGAGGACCGTCAAGGTCGGGTGCGATGCAAGCTGGGCGGCAGGTGAGGTGAGGGACGGTCCCTGGCCATGCCCGTTCTCGGTGGCATAAACTTTAATAAAACTCTCAGAAACCAAACATCTCATTAACTATGGAAGTATATAACCTATATATATCTTTTTCTACAAAACCCCACTTCCAAAGTTCTGAACTACCCCTTTACACACACAGATTCCCCTCCTCTAGGACTTACGCATAGATGGAGTTATTGAAGACCCGGGACAGGGCGTAGTTGATGTGATGGACCATGTGGTCCACCTGCTCCTGGCTCTGCAGTCTGAGGGAGTACGTAGTCTTGTCTGTGTCGATGACAACCTGTCAGAGGACACAGCAGACATTGTACTGTAGTACTGTGTACTTTTAGTGGTAACAATACACATTAGGAAGCATGTGTCCCACCTGGTGCTCTGGGTAGGTGTTCATTGCTCTGATTTCCAAAAAGTTGAACGTGACCTCCACCTGAAACATCAAAATAAAAACGATCATCACTGTGGTTCCCTGTGGCATGTTTAACTTTTACTCTTCTTTTTTAAAGACAAGAACATATTTTTACAACTTATAATTTATACATGTATGGGGGAGTGGTGGCACAGAGGTTAGAGAAGGTGGGCCTGTGATCGTACGGTCGCCAGTTCAACTCCAGGTACCGACAACATCAAAATGTGGGTGGGAAAAGTGAAGCACCCACATCTGCCCCCACCCTTATTTGCCCCACCCTGGGTCCTTGAGCAAGGCCCTTAACCCCACCACCTGCTCCCCTGGGTGCCCTAGCAGCTCTCTGCTCCACGCAGAGGACTGTGGTAGCTCGGTGTCTGTGGTTGTGTCAGGAAGGACATCCGGCGAAAAAACAATCGCCAAGTCTTCGTACGAGTTAGTTCACTGTAGCGATCCCTGAAGAAGGGAGCAACCAAAATAAAATAAAATAAACTATAAATATAAATAAATACATTATTTGGTAAATCATTGTAAAAGTACTAAAACTGTTGTGAAAGAGAGTACAAATTGCTGCAGAAATAAAAATAAATCTTTAAATATTCAAATCTGTCACCAAGAAGTGATTGTAAACACCAGGAGTCTTTTTATTCTCTGCTTGATGTTGATTCAATCAACTGCACGTTGACTCCTTAGTCTTTTTTACAAGAAGTTTTAAACTTCAAAATTATTATTATTATTATTATTAATCTCCTTGTTGAGCCAGGAACCTGCATATACAAACGGTCAAAAAACACCTACATTTATTTTGTAAAAACACGTTAGATTGATTTATTTTGCGCAGAAACAGCACTCATCATGTGAAGTCTTCTCCACCTGTGATGGAACATCTTCAGCTTTGTTCTGTTTCATTGCCTCCATCATCCCATCATCAGCATCGTCTCTTCTCTGAACTCAGTTTCTTTCTGCCTGTTTTGAATTAGCAGCAGATCTTAACTTGCAGTTAAAAGCCATAAAGGCCCAGTGAGAGTGAGGAACATTTACCTTTGTGGGCACTTTGACTGCAAAGAGATACAGCCTCCACGTTGCCAGAACCTGAGGGGGGAGGGAGAACACATTTATTTGGATGTCACTGAGCAGGAAATGCACAAAATGGCACAAAAAGCACGAACGTGACGGAGAGGGAGCAAATCATCTCTGCAGTTCATCCAGAAGTCTGGTGTCAGTCGTACAAAACACGATATGATAATGACTCTACGAGCTAACATTCATTCAACAGATGGCTCAGTTTGCAGCAAAGGGAACGATTGGAAAGACAGATTTTTTTTTTTTTTTTAAAGTGCGCAGGTTTTCACAAAATAATGCACCCCCATTTTAAAGAGTCTGGGGTAATTTAGAAAAAGCAAATGTGAATATATTAATATTCTGCCTTCGCTATTAATCATTTATGATCCAGATCTCCATAATTAGCACACCACATGTATGCAGCGTGCATCTCCTCCTCCCAGGCCTTCTGTCAAACTACTGGCCACACTTACTCTTCTCCAGCCCCCTCCAGCCCCTCACCCCTCTTAACTCTCCCCCTCGCAGCCCATCATTCCTCTGAATTCTCCTCATCTTCTTGGAATTGGGATCTTTTCCTCAATCTTCTTGCTTAATCCCTAATCCCTCCATCTCTGTGTCCCGTTTTGGTCGTGCCTGCCCCTATGCCTTGCTCCACCCCCCCACCCCCCACCCCCAGCCCTCTCCTTCCTCCCTCCCTACTCCCCTGTCTCCTTTGGCGATCGGTTTTCCTATTCTTCTTTTCTGCTCTGTCGCTTTCGATTCCTCAAGGCCTTTCTGTGCTGAATGGCTAATGGCGCCCCGCTGAGAGGCGGCGAGAGGAAGAAAGAAAATGAAACAAACAAAGAAAAGCGAGGAAGAAGAGATGGGGACACTTGATTTCTCTCTTGATAATGTAGCCAACGCAGAATCTCTTACACTATCCCACCCCCACCCCCAGTGAAACCGACCTCACGTCTAAAATATGATAAAAAGCCAAAACAAACTCCTAAAGTGGAGGGAAAAGAAGACCGCTGCAAAGCTGGCAGGGAACTACCGGTTCAAATCACAGCTCACTGACAAGTTGGAAAACAGTTCTACTGTACGTCCAGAAGGTAATGAGACATCTTCAGACACAGATAAAAGGCAGAGGAGAAAGAAACAACTAATTAGAAAGTGAAAGTGAAGCTGCGTCAAACAAAGTCGTCACCAAAGTCTGCCATGAGCCACTTCCATCCTCCCAAACAGACGTCCTGTGACCACTTTATTCTTCCTTTCCTTACATCATCTTTTACCGCTTACTGCTGCATTTTTGATACACTGATCAATTACAGTAGAAGAGTCTAAGCCAGGGGTGTCCACATGTTTTCATCATGGAGCTCCTTTTAAAATGACCAAGTCAAAGTGATCTACCTACTATAAAGCCCCGTTTACACCAGAACAACCTCTGGAAATGTTAGTGTTTTTTCAATGTTTGTTGGGGTAATAAACAAAAAATGAGCAGGTTTACATGAAAACGATGTAGTTTCCATGTCAGTTGGGTTGCCAGATAAGAAATTATGAACTATAGTACTGTGGCTTTAAATAATAGTATTTTGACCTAAACTGTCATATGTGCTGAGTAAAGATATTCTAAGATGAGGTGTGTGTTGTGTTTGTTGAACATGTGCACAGAAAAGGAGGGGGTAAATAAGGCATTTTAAATTTATCTGGCAACCCAGACATGGCTCAGCTGCATTAATTGAGCATGCAGCATCTACACATAATACCTTTGCGATCGACTGGAAGATCGTGATCAACATATTGGGCACCCCCGCTCTAAGGGGTAGTGATTCAGAATAAAATATATTCATTTTCAGCCAAATTATAATTAGACTAATTTAAAACTCTAGAATGACTCACACTGCCAAAAAATAAGTAAACTAGAATTTTTAAAATTAAAATAAAAATCAATGCGAGATATCTGCAATAAACTGTACGTTTCTGGCTCTGATATCACTGAAGCTCAAATAATTTACAGCTTTTTTATTATACCTGAACCTTTATGATAATGGTTTGATTAAAATACTTCAGATATTGAGCAACGTGCTGATATGGACTCTGATCTGACCAGGATGGAACAATGAAAATCCCTCATTTAAAAAGGTGACACCTGGGAAGGACTGGACAAAATATGAGGAAAGTCAACCAGCCTGCTGAAACCATGCCGATGACTGAAGCTCTTCCTCCATCCTTGTGATGGAAGACTTACAGAACAAGACGTAAAGAGCAGAACAGAACGTTTAATTGTCTTTACATTTTGCACTAAGTCAAGGAAACAAGTGAAACAGCACAGTGAGGTCCACCTGTTTAATGGCAAACAGCTCATCAGCCAATCACATGGAAGCAGCTGCAGGCTTAGATGAAGTGAAGACGACCTGCTGAAGCTCAAAGTGAGCGTGAGAACAAGGACAAAAGAGGATTTAAGTGGCTCTGAATGTGGCTGTCAGTGCCAGATGGGCTGACCGGAGTTTTTCTGCTAATCTGCTGAGATTTTCATGCACAACTATACAAGAAAATACAAAATAAAAGGGTCTGAGGTCAGAGAAGAGTGGTTGAAAATGACAGACTGGCTCCACTGACCACTGGTTACGACCATGGTCTACAGAAAACCACCTCTCATCTCAACACGTCCAACCTTAAAGCAGATGGACGACAGCAGCACAGGACCGCACTACTGTAATATCAGCTATGAACTGGAAACCAAGACTTCAGCATGTACAGAGGGCAACTGTGGCTGAGTGGTTAGAGCAGTCGACCTCCAATGGGAGAGTCAGGGGTTCGATTCCACCAGCAGTCACATGCTGAAGTGTCCCTGGGCAAGACATTGAACCCCTCATTGCCTCCGATGTGTGTCCCATCAGTGTATGAATGTGATAAAGCCCAGATTAGTCTTTGTAGAGATCTAGTAGAGTGCTGTATGAATGGGTTAATGAAGACACCGATTGTGTTGTAAAGAGCTTTGAGTGTCTTGATAAGATAGAAAGGAGCCATACAAGTATAGTCCATTGACCATTTACAGTCAAAACTTTAAATTGGTCAATTAAAGAATTGGAAAAATATTTCCTGGTCTGGTGAATCCCAGTTCACCAAACTCCACTGACCTCCACAGTCAGCACCTTTGGGATACGGTGGAACAGGAGAGTCATATTAACGATGTGCAGGAGACTAATCTGCAGACACTGTCATGTTACCATGTCAACATGCACCCAGATCACCCAGGAATGTTTCCAGCACATTGCTGAATCCATGTCACAAAAAGTTAAGGCAGGTCTGAAGGTCAAAATGTTTTCAGCCTGGTACCAGGAAGTGGCCAGTCAGGTTCAAGTTCAAGAAACTTTATTGTTTCCAATGGGCAATTACAGTAGTTTCACAGTCAGTAGTCACACAAACCATCCACAAGACACCGAGACATTAACATAACAGAACAGAGATCATTATTCGTTGAGTCAGGTTAAAGATCTGGACGAGCACTGCTTTAAAAACAGAATACCTATTGAAAATTCCAACGTGCTGTTAATGGTATAATATATAATATAATATAATTCACATTTTGGATCTTCGTTTTGGGGCCACATGAAAGTTTGTCTTTTTACAAGAACCAGAGGTAAAATCCTCCCCAGGATAGAGAGAAACACCAAAAAAAGCTGTCGTATAATGAACAGCATGCGTCCTCAACATCAACAGTTAGTTTATAAGAAGTCACTGCGTTATTTAGTTCATCCAGTTTAAACTGTAAATTGTTTTTTTCTACTGGACGAGAGAGAAAAGGTGTTAAACTCCCAAACTGAAACAAAACTGTAGTTTTATTTTCCAAGTTCATTTAGCCTAAACTTGGTATTTATTTAAAAAATAAATAATTAAATAACTAAAAACTATACTGAACTGAATAATCTCTCCAAATGTGAACATTCACATTAAATCACATCAATTTTATTGTCATTCTCATCTCATGTGGTACATGAGGTGAAACTAAGTTATGTACTCAGGGTCCCAGTTACATCCAAAAATAGCAAAATATAAAGTATAAATACACTAAACATTCATTCAACTCAGCTTTCCAACTAAATAAGTGCTTGTGTGCAGTTCATACATGAGCGGTACGTGTTAAATGACGGGTGGTGTATTTATTGGCATGGATTAAATAAATAAATAAATAAATAATAAAAGGCTTTTGGAGAATATAATTTATGAGGCTTTGTTATTTTATTTTTAAGTGTCCTCTTTTAGAGGAGTGGTGTTCATCTGTGACTGATTTTTACTGTCTGACTGTGCCACACACTAATGTTTGTGTTTTACTGTCCCTTTAGTACAAATACATGTTTTCAACTATGTCTCTGTTCAGACTGTGGGGTAGGACAAATCAAAGCATCACTCAAATTATCCTCTTTTTAATTATTGGTATTGTGCACAATAAAATGTTTCTAAAACATATACTAACTGCATTATCATTACTGCAGAGGCCTGGACTGCAGCAGATTCTGGGTTATTAAATTTTAAGGGACATGCTCTGTATGTAAAAACATTTGGTCAGTCTAATGAATTGTCAACAATATTTCATATTGTGATGTTTTTCTAATATCCTGCAAGCCTAGCTGTAGCTGATAACTGATAAACTCAAGACAAAACACTTGTGGTACTTTTAAAGTGGCTTTTGAAGCAACATAAAAAGTGCCTATAGATCTCCTGGACTGCCAGAACACGTCCCATCCCTCATTTTACAGATAAATCTACTGAGAAAGATAAAAAAACAACTATCTGTGTATGACGGTGCTCTTTAGATTTAAAGGGCTCACTGTTGGATGGAGCGCTGGTTAATTCAGAGTAATAGTCTGTTCCTCTCAGACACACAGCTGATACAAACAGAAAGCATTGAGAAATAAAAACAGCTATCAATATTAATTAGAGGTGGCACAGTGGTTCAGTTGGTAGAGCTGTTGCCTCTTAGCAAGGAGGTCGTCGGTTCAAATCCTGGCCAGGGGCTTTTCTGGGTGAAGTTTGCATGTCTCCAGGTA